TGTGCTCTAGGTGACCCTGCTTGAGCAGGGAGGTTGGACTAGATGATCTCCAGAGGTCCCTTCCAACCTAAACGATTCTGCGATTATCTAGAGGGGGCCTTCATCTTGTTCTTCATCTTAATATAGGTCACTTAAATACCCTAAAAGTGTAAGGTTTCGTGCTAGTTGTCTAAATGAGCTTTTTCAAGCTGATGTGATCTACGTTGTCGTGTGAAATTCCATGTTTCTGTGTCTCTGATATAAATATGATTGTCTTCAGACATTTTGAGTGTATAAATACATAATGTGAATAAATATGATGAACGGTGAAGTGCTGCTAGGTTAAAGTACGGATAGAAGAGAAAATGGGAATTTGGCCGCATTGGTGGGGGATTCCTCAGGCAATCAGTAAGTGTTAAATCTCCCCCCCCTCCCCCGGTGGTAATAAATTAGTTTTCATATCAGAGCTGCTATTTCTTTTTACAAAAAAGCTTCCGTATATTTTCATTCTTAAATAGAACTAGACTTATAATATGCTGTTTGAAAATATTTAAGAGGAGTAATCAATACAAAGGTTGATCTGTGGTGTTTTTTTTTAATACTTCCTAAATTTTCTCAGAACCAAACTAGTCTGAAATTTATATGTCTAACTTAAACTTCTTGAATTAATTCAAGAAAACAACTTGTGTGTGAAATTTGTGTCTGCAAATAGAAGAAGCCTCAGTCAAAGTCTGGGAGTTAAACAAATATAGCCTAGTACAAAAAGAGTTATGTTCTTCTTCTCAGGTCAAAACTACTAATGCTTGAACTGTGATGGGACTGGAATAGCAGTTTAGTATCCAGTTAATTTTTTTTCTTCCCTAATGATCACTTTTCTTATAGTTAGCAGATTAGCATTAGTTTTTTGTTAACATTCATTGATATACTACGTGTCTTAGTACTGGAATCATATGCTTTCATCCTAATAAATGACACCGGAAGTAGCTCTTAAATTACAAAAAGTGATTTCATTTTTAAAGAAAAGGGATTTTTAGCATGTTCCTTTAACAGCAGAAAATGGGTCAAAGCTATGTGAAAGTACATATATTTTATGAAATACAGGATTCAACTGTTTCTTCCATATCTGTAAGGCTAAATTAAAAAATCAGATACTTGGTATGTCACCTTTCTCTTGATGCTGAAGAAAGTCAGACATAAGCGAGTATTTTCGGACTTCCCACGCAAGTACAGAATGTGAGCATGGGAATTTATGCATGCATCCCCAATGCTACTGAAAGCAAATATAATTAAAACTTAGGTATTTATAGCCCTTTTAGAAACTGTATTCTGTGTGCGTTCTATGACCACCGCCTTGGTTATCCTTCATGAGTTTTGTGGTAGAAGACTAAGGGTTTTTTTTCATCATTTAAAAAAAAAATCAAATTGAGTGTCTGCTTCTTTGCTATTAAAATAATTGCTTTAATAGCAAATAATTATTTTAATAGCAGAACAGCAGCCTTTCTTAACTTGAGGGAATTATCTAATTTAATGAGGAAGAACGGAAAATACCCATCTAACAAAATGTTGTAAAAATGCCATGGAAGTGATCTCTAAACAATTAACCTAAGAGTTATGTTCTGAGTAAAAAGTAGAGCACGCCACAAAGTGCTTTTTAATGTATTTCACTGATAGAGTATATTATGTAAATAAGTAACAGTATCTTGCTTGTTGTGCCCAGAGTATAAAAGGGCTGCTTTTCTTATTAGAGTAGCTATCTGTTTTGCCCTTCAGATGTTTTTCCCACCAAACTAACAGAATGGAGGAGGACTAATTTTCCAGACTTCATTTTTGATTTACATGAGAGAAACTTGAAGTTTGAGAATTATCATTATAAAATTACAGGGGAGAATACTGTATCTACTGCAAAACCTGAAGTGTAACTTAACGTTTTTGTAATCAAGTGGTTATCTATTACAAAGTTTTCATGAAAATGGTATTTGAATTATAGTTCTGTCACTGGACAACAACCGTTTACTTAAAATGTTACGGTATTCCTCATACCTGCTCATACTTGAATACTTTTCTCACTTTCAGTAATTTCAGATGACCTTAGGGTGTATATATGTTTCTCTCTGCATGTTCTGTTGCTTTGTAAATGGTTCTGAAGCTTCATACCAAGCATCAGCTTAAAGCTACCATTGATTAGAATAAACTGTATGTGATCAAAAGCATCTTCCCCCACGTGGTATTGCACTCTTTTCTGTGTCCTGAATATACAATATATGAGAAACCTCAGGCAGTTTATGAAGCATCTTAATTTAAGAAAGCACAAATTGTTACATTTTAATAGCTTGTACTTTTCCGTTCGTAATGCCTCTAAAAATTATGGAGTTTTTCCTTTTATCAGTGTTGTTCTTTTCCACTTGTCTAATACTGATTAACCTTCCTATGTTTCCAGCTCTGCCAAAATAGAAAGTGGCTGTGCTTTAATTGATTTCTCTGTGAACTTCTATCAGATTATATGCAACTGTAGGAATAGTGTTTACACTTCCATGCTGGTAGCAAGAAAAGGTACAGCAGGTTTTTTTTCATACGGCTTGAGCTGCCTAACAGTTGAAAATTGCAAAAGGTTTTGTGGAAATTCATGTGCAGTAGTATGCTTGTATTCTGGGAGGTGAGTTCGCTAGGAAGAAGAGCTACTTGTTTTCAGAAGCAACTTCAAGATCCCTGCTTCTCAGTTGCTGCTGTTGTTATTATGCTGTTAACTTTGCCATTAATACCACTTTAAGATTAGGTGGTGTTAGTGGTGTTCAGAATACTTTCCTGCAGTTCTTGGCAATTAATTCTTTTTTTTTTCCCCGCTCTGTGTAGTTCGAGCCCATTCAGCTTTCAGCATTATATCCTTATTTTCTGCTTAGTTCTACATGATTAATGCTTTCCAGTTCTAAGCTAAGTGAGAAAACAGTAAAGGGAAGCAGTGAGTGTTACAGTTGACTCTTGAAATCCAAAAGGCTGAATTGTCACAGGTGAAATGCAACATGAGACTTAATTTTATATACCAGCTTTTCACTCTTACAGCTGAATAAATGAATTTGATTTTTTTCTTTTTGCTTTTGATTTAAAGCTTGTTGGAGCATGTTTGCTTCCAGCTGTTCTGTCCCCAATATCAAATTTATAATGACCCTGCATTTGCCATGAAGTCTGGTGTTTGTAAAAGAAGGCATAAGGAATCTGTTTAGCCCCTGAGGAGGGGGATTAAACTTACTTAGCTTTAGAAGTCTAAACATAAAAAATAGTAGGCGTGTCCAGCTAGTAATTCATCTGTTAGAACTGACCTCTAGGTGTGCCTGCTCTTTTCCATTGACTGCAGGAGATGTCAAGATGATTAACTTAGGCTCAATGGCTAGTTTAGCTAACTGAAAATGAAATGAGATTAATCCTGTGCTAAATGAGTTAAGTGTGTGCTAAGATAGGGTTGTTCATAAGAAGATCATGTTTAGTTTCTCATACAATTTTTGTAGTCTGTGTTTTGAGGCTTACCTTATTTTCAAGTCGATTGTAGTAGGTTAACATAAGGAAGCGTGTTACCCTCTAGACTAATAAGCTGACTTGGTTGCAGAGGACTGAGAAGACCTAGAATTGGTAATAAGGAAAAGTAATACAGGTAATATGGTATGGGAGAGGTGTTATTGTTTCCATTAAAAGATTAAAAGGAGATAAAATCAATGGAGAAATGAGCAGTGTAGTTGGTGGTTCTACTACTTCTTGTGTGAAAGACTGAAGTAATAAAAGATTTTAGAGAGAATCTTCTAGGATGTTGCTGACGTTAATTTAGACAACTTTGAAAGGTATGCTTAAGCTCCTTCCTGTAATCGTAATCCTAGATTACTTTTATCAGAAGACTGAATTAGACAAACTAGAGGTAGACTGGAGCTCTTCATTAATCTCACCCAGAGTTCCTGTGGCAGGGAGCTACTGTAATAGCTGTGTGACAGCTGCGAGCTTCTTCCGGACTATTCTTCTTGTGGCTGTTTAGACCTGGGTTAAACTGAATGAATGACTCGAGTCTTGACTTGAAATCTCTGTGCTGAACAACAGGACCTCAAACTATGGGAGTGAACGATACTATTTTAAAATATTTGTATATTAAGTATGGACAGATTTCTAGTTTGCTGTCTTACTGTAGTAATTTAAATCGTGCCATTGCTTTCTTAATTGCTAATGTGACTTAGCGCATCTGAACAGTTAAAACACATAGCATAGGACTTACCTTGCTGTCTTATAACTGTTGGTAAAAGTGGTTGGCAACTTTTATTTTTTCTCTCCAGTTTGAATGTGCCTGGAAAAAAAACTTGTACACTATGCTTGTAATGTCCACCTTGAAGTACAAAGTAGTCACTTGCTGTGAGGCAAGAGCACCTTCTAGGTTAGAGGAACTTAAGACTGTTGAATATTTTGTGAAGCTTCCCCCATATGCATACTGTATGTTAACCCCTTAATTAGTTGTGTTAAATTCAAGCTTTTTATCCCTCTAAGTGTATCATACAAATGTATGTTCCGCTCTGTTCATTTAATTAATTCAATTCATTTCAATTAATGCAGATTATACTGGAAAATACTAAATTTTAAAATAAATGTGTGTTTTGGGCTGTGAATTTTAATGTATGAAGTTAACACGGAACTTTTGGGCAGTCACAACTTCTTACGTTAGTCGAAATCAACTTTAAAACTATCAACTTTTATTTTGCCTTACCACATATTATGACACTAATGATGTGATTTATGTGGTGCTTTCTATTTCTTCACCATACAGGTTGACCTCACAGTGCAAGAAAAGGAGAAATACCTTAATGTGTCTCGCTGGTTCAACCATATTCAACACTATCCTGGTGTCCGACAACATCTGTCTAATGTCATCTTTATCAAGAATAGATTATATACTAATGCTCATTAAGGAAAAGTTTAATGTCGTGCTGGAAGGGCGATTGGGAATTCAGACGTTATACTGTCCAAAACCACTAACTTGCAAGTACTGGTTTGTAACATTCTGTATGTGAACCAAAACTGTTGATGCCTCAGATAATATTGCATTGAATAGCTGTTGTTTGTCAAGAGTTCAAACTAGTAGAAGAATTATATCATGTATCTGATTAAATTCAAAAATGGTGGAAAGATGGAAATTGAGCACCAGTTTTTAATTCACTATTTTTTTAAAAACAAAATGTTCTTTTAGTCAGATTTGACTGTAATGGTGTGGTTTTTGATGTAGGAAAGAGCTGTTTCTTTTCCTTCGATATTCGCTCCTTTTACTATTTATTGAATTTTTACATCTGTCTTTCATTATTTTCATTTTATTTTCCATGGATGTTTACACTAGTTTTATAAAAGTTAAGAGCTATATTGTGTGCCAAGGATGTGAAAAAGGGAACATGCAAATGTTACAAAGTATTTATGTGACCTAATAAATTATTTTAAAACTCTAGTCTTAATTTGGCTGTGATACTTTTGAGGTTTTTCTTTTAGTATAAAAATTCAGAATTTGAAAGCATAGTTCATTTGTTACTTCCTTTTTTTGGTATATGGACTTTTATTTTGACACTAGAAGCCCTTTCTTTTGAACAAGGTAACAGTAGAATTTTTCAAGATTCTGCATATATCTCATTTCATACAGTATTTCTACACAAATGGAAATGCAAGTTTCAAGAGGGGACAGGAAAGAGTACATGCCTTAAGGTAATAATGAACTAGTCTGCCAACTTCACTTTCAATTTTTAAGTTTGTTTCAAAAATAAGGACTAAATATTGTTGAATCAAACATTTTGACAGGTCAGTTCATTGTAGAATGTAGTCCCTTGAGATTTTAAACAAATTTCAAAATGCTAACATAATAGCCCAAGATGGGCCTCTGAATTATATAACTACCTTCTGCACAATCTTAATTTTTTTAACTTACTGAAAAAAATACAAAAACGTAAACTTATATATTGGTTTCTGTGACAGTGTTCAGCAAACTCTGTCTGTGGCCCGTGTGCTGAGTGACTGTAAAAGTACAGGCTTTTGTCTTGATTTGGTGCTGCTTGGAGAGCCTCCCACTGAGTGAAGTAGATGCAAAGATATCGTTGACAGCTGTTTATGCACACTCTATTGTGTTTATAGTGTTAATTTTGAGTGATGCAGGGTTATAAGAAAAAAGGTAGGTTGGGTAGGTAGGAAGTGAGATGAGATAATTAAACAATATCCTAACACGTGCTTAGAGGACGGGAGAAAATTTTACAGGTAACCTTAATTTGGGCAATTGCAGACTCTTATAGGTGTGTTGTGTGTGTATATGCATATATATATACACACAGATGATTTTGGGGAGGACTGTCAGGCACACAATATTACTTCTAAGAATGTCTTTTGTCATTTAAAAATCTTACTTGTTTTGAAAAGGTTCTCATTGCTTTCCAGGAGACTCAGTTATGAGCTTCTGCAGTTTCTGTTGTTGTTAGCTGCTTTTGTTCCTCACCATTTAGAAGCAGGCCATGTGTACTTATTTACAAAGTTCTCATTGAAGTCTTGGGATATATTCAAGAACTGCAGAATGGACTTGGATGCCTGTGAAAACATGTACAATAGAATAAGGTACAGTTTTTAGCTACAGTTATTAGAAACCTCATACTCCAAATTCTTATATTTCACTGCTGTGTACTTCAGGTTTTACTGTCATTACTTACACTCTTAATTCTAGATTCATTCAAACAATTGTAACCTAGTATGAATGTAAGTGAGTTTGGGGGTTGTTTGGGGGATTTTTTTTTTATTATGGTTGGGAGCAAATCGTACTAAGATTAAAAACAACAAAAAAAAACCATTTCTAAAGGTCTCATACAAAGTCAGTGCCTTAGGTTAAGGTTTGGGGAAGTTTCACAGTCATCTTAGTCTTGGGGGGAGGTGTTGTGTGTGTGTGTTTTTTGTTTATGCTTCTATCACAAATGAGAATAGTCAAAATTTTGTAAAGGGTATGTGCAAGCCTTCGTTCATAGAAACTAGGACACTTTTTAAAAAGCTGGCTAGTTGTCATGTGCTCCAGCGAATTTTGTATCAAAGAACACTGATAAGGAACTACAGCTAAAATATTGCTGAAAACAATATTGTAATCTCTTTCAGACCTCGGATTTTTTAGAGGTAATGCTGTAGAGTTTCTTGTCCCAACCAGCTGCTGTTTCCAAGTATCTGGGTTTCTTGAGGTGGCTCTATGTTATGGCTCCAGTATCCCCTAGCCTCTTGTGCCAGCTTTATTTTCTCTCTTTCTGAGGTGTAGAGCAGGAGTGTTGCTTGCTGCTGAATTTAAGAAGGGGGGGAAAAAAGATAAAAGGCATTTCAGATAACTGTAAGATGAAATGTTTGGAATTGAATTAGTACAATTTAACCCTATACCGTTTGAAAACACATTTTCTCAATTGTCATAATGCTAACCTGAGCATTCCAATTTTCCTTCCCAAGTGGAGAAATTAGGAGGGGGTAGAGAGTTAAGACCAAAGAAGGATGAACTGAGACTTTGTCTTTAGAGAGAAGACTGGAAAGCTAGGTATTAATTATACCTCTCACTGCCCCTTTAATACTTTTAAAATGCTAAAGACAAATAAATATGCAACTTTTGAAAAATTATGGTTGAAAACATAGATTGGGCTATCTGAGCTTATATGAGGTGCACTTCTAAAGATTAAACTTCTTATTATTTACAGATGACTAATGGTACTTGAGCTTTTTGAAATTAATGGTGATAGTCTGTGTAAAGAGTGTGAGTGGGTAAATGTTCAGCTGTTTTTAAAATTGCTACTCCTTGTCTTTCTGTAACAGTTTATTTTGCGCTTATTGAACATCAGTAAAAGTGACTTTCCTCCCTAAAATTTTAGTTGCTGCGGGGTGGGCTAAATAGTGTGATGCTATTTTGTTTTTATTGCTTCACAATTTGATGATGATGGTGACCACAGTGATGTGTAGAATTTATTTCCACAGCATTTCATGAACAGTGACACTCTCATTTGTTAATGCATCTCATCAATGCAGGACTATTATTCGGCATAATTGTTCTATCTGATTTATTCAAGGGGCCTGACATGTTATGGTCTTTTAAGTATGTGCCTCTAGGACTTTGGGTTGTTGCCATATGGTAAGATAGTACTGCATGACAGCCTTTCAGCAGCTGAAGAATTCAACAGCAGAATAAGTATGATTATTGTAAGTGTTCAATGAAGTCTTACACTTACCACTTTGACTTGTTTTTTTCACCTTGATTCCAAAATGACACTGCTTGCAGACATGCCAGGCTGAAACAGATATTCCAGTGTTGCACTGGATATACTAGAAATGTGTTGATGATTTTTAGTGCTTTTTTTGTACTTGTAACTTCATTTTTGGGTGAGTTGTCAGAGTTCAGTTTGACTTTGGAAATCTCTAGGGACAGTTCTTGCATAGAGACTTACAATTGGGTAAAAGTGATTTATAGAAAAATCTAGATTTTAATAATGGGAGGATTAGAGAAGAGGCTGAGTAGGAATTAGAAACTTGACAAGGAAATGTGTATTGTACTTAACAAAATAAAGTAGTTCCAATTTTAGATTAAGGTGCTAAGAAAACCTGACCATTCACCTGGAACCAAAATGCAGGATTTTCATCGTCAAAGCTATAAAGACTTTTTAAATATTAACTTAAAGGTATAACATGCTGCTTTCTTTTTTGTAGAGTTTCTTTTGTGTGATCAATTATTTACATACCAGGTAAGCATCCCAGTTTTCTACACAGAAACCAGGTTATGCAGGTTTGTTAACTTGTGGTTAACAATTAAAACAGTCTAATCAAGCAAGTTATGTTACCTTTTTTCACTTCCCATACTTAGTAAATATTTGTTTTCAAGAGGTGTGCACCTAGTAAGTTGCCAAAGATTCTTTGGGTAGATTGCATAACGTCTGGAGGATTAAGAATCCTAGCTAGCATCTTAGCTGTTGGCCTGTAAAAGGTGATGTGTTCGTATCATTTTAATTTTTTCTTGTATTCCTTCTCTGTGGTCTACCCCACCTTCTTCGGGATATTTTTAAATAGAAGTAGCCCTTCTTCCAGGAATGAGTTTCTTACTACAATTTGATACCTTGCAAGAGCACAGGCCTAGAAATAGGGAACATATCTTTGTAAAGGTAGATACTAAATTTTCCGGTAAATGTCATGACTTACTGGAGTATCTTGATATATCTGCAGTCTTCACCACCAATGCTTGTTCGTTCTCTCTCTCTCTCTCTGGGTATAAGCAGGGAGTTATCTAACTAAAGGTTTAAGATGGACATGAGTTTTCTGCATTCAGAGACACTCTTGTGCATATTAGCTATTTTGGTGTGGCTATAAATATTTTGGTGGTTTTATAGAAGTATGTGTATGCAGAATCTAGTAGTTAAATTGATTTTTTTTTGTTTGGTTAGGTTTTTTGGTTTTTTATTTTGGGAGGTTTTTTGGCTATAGTTGAAATTAGAAGGAAGACTTTGTAGGCCTATTTGATTTTCTTTTTTTCTTTCTAACTTTCAATTTTATCCCTTCCTTTAATCTTTGGTGTGTTTCATGGTCTTTAACTTCAAACTATAATTGCAATGATGCAGCTGTGTAATGGATTAATACATGTAATCTTTTCCCCCTAAGAGCAATATTTCTTCTTTGCATCTATAATTAGATCGTGCTGCTGCTATCCCTAACCATAATGCCAATGTTTCATATTCTCCATACACCTGAGCACGTGCTTACACACTCAGTAATCTTAATTTTGTTCTGTTTATTGAAGCTGAATTTTTTTTTTTGCCTCACGTTCTCATGCTTGGACTGAATGCTACTGCAAAAGAAATGTGAGGGGAGTTGCAATCATATGTCTTTGCTGCAGTGAGCTTTTAGATTCACACTGGGTCTTTGTATCCCACTGCTGCATGTCTTGAATACTGGATTTATCGTACTTTAGACCCCAGCTCTAGGGTGACATATAAAAATATCATAGATTGGGGAGAGAATTTGACTTTGTAGTAATGGTTACTTGTTGCTGCTCTGCGCACATTCCTGCAGGCGTCGCCTTTATTTTCTGTGCTGGTAGTGACTACAATAATTCCAGTTGCTGCAGAACAGAGCCAATCTCATCTTTCACTGTACAGGCAGGAGGGGAGGTTAGTAATTTTTCAATGTTGTTGCATCGTAAGGATTCCCCTCCCACATTACCTTGGCCCCTTCAGGAAGATTTTCATGTATTAAACTTTCTCTGTTGGAAGAACTAAATCTCTTTCAGCGTATCCAGGCTGGTGATCTAATTTGACAGCTCTTCGGTGATGTCTATTCCACTTCAAAGAGGCAGGTAGCCTAGGGCTAGCCAGCTGTACTGTGGATTCTGCAGATTTGGCTTGCTGTTCCTGCTGGGTGTCATCTGTCTTCTTAGTCTTGCGGTGGATAATTTTTGTCCTCTCTAGCATCATCTGCC